CTAAACCCTAAACCCTAAACCCTAAACCCTAAACCCTAAACCCTTAATACTGAGTTGAGTGTATCCTATTATGTCTGTAGATAAACCTCTAGAGACTGTTAAACAAACAACGAGCAGCTACAAATACACCCAAACCCTAAACCCTAAACCCTAAACCCTAAACCCTAAACCCTAAACCCTAAACCCTTATTTACTCACCATTGGGTATTGGATATATTTCGGGGTGTTTCTGCCGATGCTCTGAGCAACAAAAAAAATTTCTCGCAACACAAACCCTTCATTTCTTCTTATAAATTAGGGTTTAGGGTTTAGGGTTTAGGGTCTAGGGTTTAGGGTTTAGGGTTTAGGGTCTAGGGTTTAGGGTTTAGAAGAATACCGTGAAAGGTTTTTATGTTTCCGTCAACGCATTCCTGAAAATCGCACCACAGCCAACAAACCCTAAACCCTAAACCCTAAACCCTAACCCCTAAACTCTAAACCCTAAACCCTAAACCCTAAACCCTAAACCCTAAACCCTAGCTCGTAGCTGCTGAATGTACCTTTAGATGCTGCAAGAACTTCTTTCTTTCTTCTGCTTTTTTGCGGCCTTCTTCTGTAAACCCCAAACACCTCAATACAAACCCTAAACCCTAAACCCTAAACCCTAAACCCTAAACCCTTTTTTTGAAGCAAGAAGAGTCTGTCTCTCCCCCTAATAATTTCTGTGAATGCTGTGTAGTATCTTTAAGGGTTTAGGGTTTAGGGTTTAGGGTTTATTAGGGTTTAGGGTTTATGTACCTTTCCGGATGAGTTTGAGGGTTTTGTTAGCTAGCTGAGGGTTTAGGGACCCAGACAAAACCCTCGTATCTAAACCCCAATTTTGTTTATTATATATATTTTTATTTTTATTATAATTACAACAAATAATAAAACCCTTAAGGATAGAGAAATCCATATATGTTGCTGCGGCTATATTATATAAAATATTTTTTGTTTTTTTTATTATTTCTTTTTCTTTTTTTCTATCGATTGATGCATGCATTTTATTTATTTTTTTTTTTTTATTTTTTTTTTCTTCTCTCTCTTCTTCTTTTTCTTCTTTTTCTTCTTTTGTTTCAATAAAAAAAGAAAATGTATACTCAGCAGACAGCAGCAATAACTCAGACTCCATTTTGTTTATTTCTAATACTAAACAAAACACAAACCACAATCGAGGGTTTAGGGTTTAGGGTTTAGGGTTTAGGGTTTAGGGTTTAGAGTTCAGCATATAGTGTGTAAGAAAGATAAAGCTTGTAGAACAAATATAAATACAACTAATGCTTATTCA